CGGGTAGAGGCTTGGCCGGCCAGCCTCGACGTGCTCCTGGCATGGCACCCCAGGGTGCATCAGCCCCGCAGCCTGGGGTGGGGACCGTCCCCCCGCTCCCCTTCCCCTGGTCTCGGGGAGTGCAGCTGGGAGAGGTCAGCACCCAGCAAGCTCTCACCTCTTCCCCACCCGCTGGAGCTCAGCTTGACCCGCTCCCCTGCAAAGCTGCAAAGCTGCCGCTCCCACGGGAAGGGGGGACGGGCGCCGCCGCCAGCTCACCGTGTAGCGCCAGAGCCCCCCGATGTCCCGGCTCTGCTCGAAGCAGGTGGGCTCCAGCCCCTCTTCCAGGCAGCCCTTGGTGGCCGTCAGCCCGCTGACGCCCACACCCACCACTGCCACTCTCATCCCTGCTCTCTCCACCAGGCACCCGGGCTGTGAACGGGGCTTAACCTGGGAGAAACCCCGCAGGTGGTCACCACCCTCTCAGGGAGCAGCTGCCAGCATACCCTCTATAGGGGATTTCTCTATATGCCACCCCCAAACCTTCATTCCCTTTACCAGCATTCTGGGCTCTTAATTTACAAGTTAGATTAAATGACTTTAAATCTTCATTTTCTCTCTTTTTTTTTTTTTTTTTTTTTTTTAAATAAACCCATCCACTTTCACAATGTGCTCGCCAGACTGCTTTCAAAACCCTGCTGTTGACCTGGAAACTCGCTTTGAAAATATGTAGTTAAGCCACAAATCACTGCCAGTTTTTATTTACAAGTTGCGTTTAAACTATCCCTCCTTATCAGTCTTGTGAATATTTGTATTTTATCTTTGGAGATCTGCCCCTGCCTTTCTTAGAAAAGAAAACAAAACGCGCACCGGGACTACTCAGCCTCTGCATCACTGACAGTGGTCCTGTCCCCCGTCCCCGGGGAAGACGCTGCTGACTTTGACGTGGTCACCAAAGCTGGCGGAGGGGCTGCGGGTGTAGCACACCTTGGCTTTAGGGATGCTTTTGCATCTGCCTCCCAAAGCCGCCCCGCTGAGGAGGTCTGGGCTGGACAGACAGACTGTTGCAGGGTTGCAAACAGCTCAACCCCAGGGCTCAAAGGGCAGCAGCCCCCGGGTCAATGTCCAGCCCTACGTGGCTCCCAGGGCTGCAGGGGGGATGGTGGACCCAAACCCTTCCTGATAGTGGTGGGCAATGAAACAAGGGATGATGGCCAGGTGCCAGCTTGAGCTGGACATCGCCAGAGCAGGGACCACCACACAGGTGCCCTTGGGGGCTGTTGCAACCCCTGGTTTAACCCCAGTGCCGGAGGGAGCACCCTGCTCGGCTGAGTTATTAACCCAGCGTACTGGGACAGCACTACGGCCGGGTGGCACTGGCTTTTCTGCCCCAAGAAGTTCTCTCAGCTTCCACCACACACAGGGGATGGTGTATTCACCAGAAAAAAAATTTCAGTAGAAAAATGGGGTTGCACACAGTTGGGTTTTTTTCTTCAAAACACTGAATTCCCCATGAACAACTTCAACTTTCAATAGAAAGGCAACACCTAATGAATACTTCGCTTTCCAAGTTTGGAATGAAAAGTGGACTTTTTCCTCTTTAAATGAAGAAAGCACTAGCATAAGCTGCTCATTGTTAACTGGTTTTGGTTGGGGTTTTTTTTGCATGGTGGGAGTTAACTTATATCACAAATATCTCCTGGCTACGTATGCTATTTAATTCCTTACCCTTTTGCAGAGAAGCTAGAAATAACATCCAGGAAACACTGCCTCGGCCATCCCATCCCCGATGCTGCCACACTTTCCATACTGTCCCTGCAAGTATTCATAGCAGCTAACCTCATAAGTCTCAAGCTGTGGGGTGCTCGCGTGGGGCAGGGAGGGATGGAAAGGCTTCGCAGCCCCCTGGGGACGCTTACCTCCAAGCCTCGGCCGCCCGTGCTCTGTCTCGCCACCGAGAGCCCTTCCTGCTCCCGATTTATAGGCGAGACGTGGCGCTTTGGCAGAGGCAGGGGAGGGCGGGCAGCTCCCCCCGCTCCGGCACAGCCACCCCACTCCCACGGTGGTTGCACAACCCAGGTTTGCAGTGGGAGGAGCGGCTGGACTCTCCTGCTGTCGTGCGGGGTGAGCCAGACGGCCTGGCTGATGATCCCTGAAGGGGATCGAGTGGGTGGGAGAAACCGGAGTGGTCCAGATGCATCCCACAGCCATGCCAGGGGGACCTGCGTGTGCGGGGGCAGCTCCAGCTGTGGGATGTTTTCACTCTCCTCTTGGTTGCCTTCCAAAAGGGAGCCAAAGCGGCTGATGGACAGCAGGGTTTCGGCAGGACTTGCACCTAGGGCATCTTCCAAAAAAAATAAAAGAGCTGGTTTTGCGGTCGCTGCTCGCAGAGGCTGTCGTGCCATCAGCCACACGTGCAGCCACCCACACTGGTGGCGGACAGGAGGCTCCCCAGGCAAACTGGGAGAGCATGAAATGGCCATGAACACCAGCGTAGCAAGGCCCTAAAGACAAAGAAAGTGGAAACGTTGACTGAAATATCAATGCAGGACATAGCACCCATCCAGGTATCTCCCAGGGGTAAATGATTCCAGATTTGTTCTCAGCTCTTTAAGCTGTTTGATTAACCAAGGAGGCTGCAAGGGAGGGGGAGAAAAACCCATTGGAGGTCTGCAGAACAGAGGGTGGTAAATAAAGCAGCTCCATCCAACAGAGACATCTGCTCAGAGCCTGCGTTCAAAGCTGCAGAGGCACGAGATGGGCCGGTAGCTGGGAGCTGAAACTAGAAGTGGAAATAAGATGCACATTGGTAACAAGGAAAGTTAGCGATAGGAAATGGCTGCTGAGCTTTGTGGCAGACCCATGCACTTGAACAAAACATGTTTGGTTTGTGGAGGGACAGGACTCTGCCCCCTGTGCTGGGGCGCTGCCTGGGCTGCCACCCATCTGCAGCACCCACGAGGAAACATCAGCCTTCTCGGGCTTCCCTACCCCGGGATTTCCCACTGCTTCTGCCCGACGCCTGGCTCCTGGGTTTGACCCCATCGGGTTCGGAGCACGTGCCTGGTCTGGGGCCGGCTGTGCCAGCCATGCTCCGGCACAGCTCCGCGAGCGGCGGCCGAGAGCGATGCCTTTGCAGGGGCTGGAGCCTGTGAAATCAAACTTCAGAGTTTGCTCTCCCAGGCCAGTGGGACACAGTTACTGAGGCAAATGGGCAACAAGCCTCGCACATCTTTGACGCCGTCGGAGTTTGCACAGGCTACGTCTCCCTGCCCTCCCTCCCACTGGACTCTTCTCCAGATGCACAAAACCTTGCACCTGCAAAGACGCTTGCCAGCACTCAGCAAAAAAGAGTAGGGAGTCCACAAAGGCAAATATTTTGTTCTTTATGTGCTCCTGCTGGGTTTCCCAGCAGGCATCCAAGCGACTCGTGGTTAGCGGGACGCTGCGGCAGCTTCCCAGGAGCGGTGTTAGTGCTTCTGGGAGGGCAGTTCAGGGAAGCTGTCTAGAAGAACAAGTTCTGTTTTGTCATAGATGAGCTACTGGCACAGAAATGGGGCCAGATGCCTTTGCTGCAGCTGCTTACAGCAGAAGTGGCTTCAGCCATCCTTGATGGGGGATCTGGTCTGGAGCCTGTCCGGAGGTGGAGGATGGGAGGCAGCAAGTGTTACCGCGTGAATCTAGGGTAGAAACACCTCCAAAGCCCCAGTGCCCTGGGATTAAATCTCACTTTCCTGTGATCTGCTTGAGATCTTTGGTGTTCCCTTCTCCAAATATCCCTGTGATGGTCTGGACCAGGTATGCAGAACATAAAGTATTAGTGGAGATGGATGGTGAGATAGCAGGGAGTACAGGCGTACAATTACTGTAATTATATACACGCACACACATGCCCAGGGTGCTGAAAAGCCCTTGGAAACACAGGGAAGTTCTGGTTGCTTTATTGACCTCTGCTGCTGGCACGGCAAGGGGTGACATCCTGGTCCCTGTGCTCTGCCATCCCCCACCGGGAGGGACACCCAGGACCCATCTCTCCAGCTTCTCTCCAGAGACAGTCTGTGCAGAGCAGAGAGGAGCAAGCACATCGGGGGGTTTTAATACGTTCTCAGGGCTGAAAAAAGCCTTCATGGCCTGGCATTCAAGCAGAACATCCCTTGGTACCCTTGGGCCAGTCCCCCTGCATTTCTGTCCTTGTGAAGACAGAAGCGGGCACGGTCGCAGAGGTCCCTGTCCCCCTTTCTGAGCAAGCGGGATCTGCTGCCGCCCTGTCAGGGAGGGAAGGGGACCCTGCCATCGCACACACAAACTGCTGGGGGAAACGAGCTTTGGCCGAGGGATGGGGTGAGGCCAAGGGAGGGCACATAATTTGGGGAACTGTTTTACCACCTTCCCTTTGCCCAGCCTGGGACACCAAGCAGCTGGGTTTATCCACGTCCTCACATGCTGAGACAAAAGCCTCATTAGATGCCGGGGAGGTGTTTCTGTCATGGGGGACCACAGGGAGAGCTAGGAGCAGTAAATAACTGGTGGTGGCTCAGGAAGAACACCAGGGAGGGGATGCTCAAGCACCTGCCCGCTGGCAAGCCCCTTCTCCCCTTGAGGAGCAAAGCTCCCTGGCACTGTGGCATAAGCCTGGGCTGTGCAACAGGCTTTTTATCCTTAAAGTAGAGGGAAGGAGAAACTTGAGATATTCATTTAGTCTTAATGAGATGGGAAAGGCACCTTCTCTGCAAGACTCCAGCCGCAGTTTTATCATCTCTGTTCCAAATAACACTTTAAGCCAAGGAGGGGCAAATCTATGGACAAACAAGTCTTGGCACAGCCCGCTTTGCTGTCTTCTAGGCTTGCGTCAGCAGCTTTTGGCATATGTCATGGTGAAGGGGGACAAGAAAAAGAAAAAAAGACAGAGTTTCTTGTTAAGCCAGTCTCTAAGCAAAGCGGGGTGCTCGCCATCAAGCAGCAGCTGCTGCCACACACGCTCAGGAGCTGGTGGATGTGGGGTCTGGGCTCATCAGTGAAACACTTAATTTTCCCCTCTCCAATATTATCACTGCCTCCACTTACTGACCAGAAGGCTTTAATCACCATTTCTTTACTGCACATAGAGGTGAGGCTGCCCCAAAGGTGACTGTTGCCTCCCACTGCTTCCCGCGAGGCTGCGGGATACGGCAGATCCAGGGGGTGAACGGAGGCTGCCGGCAGCTGCTGGTGGGAAAATGTATTTTCCACCTACCCCCTTTTCTTAGAGCCTGGGTTTTTGGCTCTGAAAAAAATTGCTTATGCTTTGGCCCCAAGGCCAAAAGGCAATTTCCTGCTTAAAAAAATTACAAAACTGCTACCCCAAGCATCGGGGCCATTTTCCTACTTATTTTACTATTACCAGCACATAGAGGACACTGAAGCAAGCAGCGACAAACACTGGCAGAGCTCCGATTTCTTTGTAATCAGAGCTAGGTATGTTCAATACCTTAAACTCTTCCTGAAACCTCAGAAGAGACATGACTGTTAAGGAGACCCAAAGGATGTGGTGGAACAGACGTGGGCGGTAGCAGGTACTGGGGGAGAGGGATTTGCTTGCTAGGCAAGGGGGCGTCTGCAGGGAGGGCACAAGTGCTTTACTCCAACATACTTGGCAAAGTTTAATCTGATTTAATAATAAGTCACCATGTTTTCCAGGCACGTAACCCGAGGAATTTGTCAAGGAGAAGCTGCTTGTTAAACCTGTTGCCTCCTATTGCATTAATGAAGCCAGGAGAGCTGCAGTTTTAAGATTCTTGGTTTGGAAGGTTTTAAAATGTACAATTAAGAGTTTCCCCAGACAACTACACAAAAGCCTTCACAAGAACAACCCTGACAGACACATCCACCCTCCCTTGCTCACCATGTCTTTGTACCAGGACTCAAAGCAGATAAAAACATACACTCCAAGTGCCAGGGGAGATGCACCCAAATAACACACAGCGCTAGGAGGGGCTTTAGACCCTCCTCATGGCTTCTGAGCCAAACCTCAGGGTTTGGGGTCTGTCTCTGTCATTTCACAGGTGATAAAACACAACCACTGAAGAGACTGTCAGAGCAAACAGAAATTACAGTTAAGGTAACTTGTAAGCAAATAATCATAAGGAAGAGCTGCCTGGAGAGCAGATGATTAAAACACGCACACCGCGACCAGAAGGCGCCTTCCTACCACCACCACCAGGTGAAGTCATCCATCAGCTGCCGAGTGTTTTCAAAAATTCAGTCGGCGCAGTTGACTCCTTTGTGTAAATATTGACCACGCTCCCAGACCGGGCAGTTCGAATGCTTTCAATTCTTGCCGCCTCTCCAAGAGCATCTCCAGCGGAGGTGTGCCTGTAGCTGACATTCCCGTCCCCCGGCACGGGGACATGGCAGCACTCCTAATTCAGGTAGAGACCTAGGCTCCTGCACCAACCCAACCTCCCACCTAGAAGCACTTTTGTGCATTTATTCCCAGAAATTAGTTTTTTTTGAGAGGTCAAAACCCCCAACACTAAGCAAGCCACTACTCTCGGACCACTCAGAAGTGCCTTGCTGAGGAGCCAGTGTAGGCACTGTGGAGCTGCATTAGCTCACATCAGCTGGCAGATCTTCTTTCACCTCCGATTGCTTCACCAGACCCTAGGAGACAGGATGGGAAGGGACCTCAGGAACATCTGACCCATCTTCTCCTCCAAAGCAGCTCTAACTGACCTTTACTACCTTGTTTCCTTCCCCTGTTTTAAAAAACCCTGGTGATGGAGACTCCAGCACCTCCCACACAACCTCATACTTGCCTTTGGAGTGGCCGTCAAGTTTTCTTTTATCTCCACAGTAGAGACAAGCTGATGACATTTGGAGATAATTAAGGAGAATTTGCAGCATCACCTCTCCATCAGTTTAAAATGGAACTTTCCAGATTAAATTGCTAGAGGAGCTCTGACTGGCTCCTGCCTTGACTTGCTAATTGGTCTGAGAAGCTGCTGAGCACTCACAGGTGGTCCTGGGGTCTTGGGGCTGCTCAGCACCTCTGAAGATTAGCCTCGCTGGCTGGTGTTTCCTATTTATATTTTGGAAATTATTTTTCAGGCGGAAATTGTTCTGCAGGGGACAGAGTATTGGATTATTTCTCTGAAAGCTTCACCCAGCTGATGAGATCAGGGTTGAGGGAGGTTGGACCACTATAGCCAAGGCAGCCAGACTGCAAAGAATTAAATGGACTGATGGCATGAGAGGGTGGGTGGCAGGAGGAGAGACAACAGCCCAGTGTTCACAGAGAGGTGCAGCAAGGAGACACGATGCTGCTGGGGGAGCTTGTAAGCCAAGCTCTGCCCTTTTTGTCCCCTCCGACTGGAAGGGGAAGGGACACATTGACCTTGGGGGGCAGAAAGAAAAAAGGCTGGGACCTCCAGTTTAATCCATACCACATGGGTCTGGGAAAAGGAGTGGTGACACATGGAATAACCTGGCAATAGCTGCTCCTAATGAATATCTTGATCTGAATCAGACCTGGGACAGGCAAATCCTAAGACCAGCCACCCCATATCTGCCTTTTCTAAAGCAATACCAGCTCTCCAGTGCTTCCTCCTGACAGCCCAGTCCTCACCTTTGCTGAAGGACTCTCATGGTTTTGACCAGGTTGCAAAATATGTAATCAATTGTACGATACAACAACAAAACCTTTTTTTGTCTGGAAGGATTAGTGTCCAGAGAGTAAATAATGGGTTGGTCAGGACTGGAGACAAGAGTTCTTGTCTGTCCTGTCTTCCCAGGGATCAACTCCTCCATCCCCTGTGCTCAGAAATACCCATAGTGTGGGACCGGGCCATAGTCCTCGTGGTGAAATGACCTGTTTGTAACATGTCAATCACAAAACACAACAAAATTCATGATAGCAAATGCATAATAAAAATTTTTTTCCTCTTATCTAAAGAGAAAGTGTGGCTCGAAGTGGTGTTGGTCTGCAGGACACGTAAACCAGCACTGTCATGCTCTGTGTTTCACAATAATTCTGATAATCACCACCGTACCTGTTTTCCCTGAAGACATTTTGAAAAATTGCAGCTTTACAGAACAGAGCGTTAGCTCCAGGAGGTGAGCTTAGGGTGTATGGAAAGGCACTGCCAGGACTGATCACCCAGCAGGGACCGTTCCTTCTGCTCTGGAGGGGTCCACTTTCTCCTTGGCCTCTGGGGAGAGCCCCACTGCCATGTCCAACCCCAAATTCCCCAGACCAAACACCAAAATGGTCTTCCCTTCGCATCCCTGACGGGTCTTGTGGAAATACTGGCCCTTGAACTTCTCGATATCTGTAAGGAGAAGAGATAGAAGGAGTGTCCAGGGCTCCAGGAACCTTGAACTGCAATATTCAGCACAACTTTGAGTACAAACTAAAATCCCAGGGTGCTGGGACCCAGACTTTGGTGGTGGTGACATGGCAGATTATATATATTGGGTCAGGAGACAGAGGAAAGGTGGGTGAAGCCAGGGCTGAGCTCAGGGGTCCGTTTCATTGCTTCCTTCAGGACCACTGCGTTACAGAGCTGCCTTTGCCCGAGCTCAGACGGTTCACGAGAAACACATCCATCCTTGAAAAAAAATGAGCTATGAGAAGTGAATGAACACCATAAATGTAAGTTTTCAGGAAAGCATATAAATGGCCTGTAAGAACTATTGAAACATTGTCTTGCTGCTGAGACAGCAGAAATGGGAGCTGCTGTTTGCTAAGTATTGCAAAAGAGCCACGTTATTTTTTGGCAGACATTTAAAGACTGGCTAGAGGAGGGGAGCCGGGAACATGTGCTCCTCCCCGACAGCTCTCCTGTAAAATGCAGCATCACGCAGTGATGGGACCAGCTCAGAAACACGTTGCTCCTCACCGCCCTCCTCTCCCCCAGATAAAGACGCCAAGCTCAGAAACCGTCTCCCAGCACCCCATTTCCCAACGCCACGCGCAGGACTCGCACAACGCTTCTGCTGCAAAATGGCAGGGATGCACATGGAAAAAAAGCTGGGATTACAAACAGCTTTTTTGCAGAAAACCCAGATGGTAACCCCTGCCCTGCCCAGTGGGTGGGATTCTGCCGGCATCTTCAACGACGGGCTGCGGCAGGGATTGAGCTGGTGAGAAAGTGGGGAAGCAGCTACAATGGTCTCTTTTTGCAGCCACCCCTTTAAGAGTTAGGTGGACTTTTCTGGAGAAGCGTGTGAGCAGCGTGGTAACCCATCTGGGGTCCATGGGTCTGCATCGTCTGCCTCCCGCACTGGCTCCCGGTAACAGCCGCCTGGTCTCCAGGAATATCGTCAGTTCTGGGCTTTACCAACGAAACCAGAAACACAAGCACAAACAGCTGTGATGTATTTCCAAAGGTGTAAGCCTCATTTTGTGAGGTGTAAGGGAGGAATAATCCAGTAGCGGTGAATCATCCGTCTCGTGCCACGCAGCGTTTGTGTCAACAGCCAAGGACAACCGCCGTAGCCTGGCTGTAGCCCTGCGGCGTTGGATGCAGCACCAAGGTGTTGGCATGGACGCTGGCTGAGCATTTAGGCTGTTCCTCTGTTTTTCCCCAGACCGTGCAGGATGGTGCCTTTCCAACCCTCACAGCGAACCTCCATTTGCTTCCAGCCAAAGGCAGGCTGAAGGCTTTGGTTTCAGCCCCTCCAGCGGGGCGTAGGCTGGGTCCAGGCACCAGCAGCCCTGGCTAGCTGTGGACAGGCCAGCCGCCTCCCCGGCTTCCCATCTTACAGCTGCTCGGCTGGTATTATTCTGGAAATAACTTCCCCATCTGGTACATATGCAGCTTGTTAACCCTGCTCCTAGACATGTGCCTCTAGCAGCACTCCATAAACAGCTTTTACCTCGGATGGACTCCAGCAGGACATATGGATGTATATGGTGAGTGACACCAACCATCACAGCATCAAAAACGGCCAGTTCTTCCTTCCCATTAGTTTCGGTGACAACAGCCCACTGGCGGGTGGTTGAGAAGTCCTGGCATTTATATTTTTTATCCTGATGACTGTAGTCTGAAAGGAAATCGTAGCAAATGCATCAATACATGGGTCCCCGCACGCTGTGCGATGCCGATGCAAAACAGGCAGAGCTGAGTGCTCCGTTGTGCTTCCCATCCTCACCTACCCTAAAATCCCCAGGCCAGCTGTAGTAATGGGTCGGCTGGGCTCGTTCCCCTTAATTGGTGGGGGATTTCTGGGAAACAAGCATTTACTGACCCCCACAGGGACGGGGAGCCTGGCCCCAGTGGCACGGTGTGTGGGGAGCAGGCACCCCCCGGCACCGATGCTGTTGCCTCCCACCATTTCAGCAAGCTCTGGGCCGTGGAAGGCAGGCTGGGCTGGCAAACTGGTCCTTGCTAGGTGGAGCAGTTTGCCTCAGCAAAGCAAAAATAATTGCCGCGGTGTTTGGTCTGCAGGACGCTGTGCAGGTTCACTTGATCTTCACCCAGCAGCTGGCCTCGGAGTTGGTATCCCCAAGGCATCCGGCAGTAGCAATGTCATGAAATGCTGGCTAAGATTCTGGCTTTTTGGCGCAAACTGGTAATGGGTGGAAGTATCATGGGTGATTACTGGTTTTGCGCCTGTAAAATAATTAATTGTTTGAATAGCAGAGGAAGGTGGAGGCTGGTGTAAAAGGCAACATGGGAGGCATGTCTCTGCTCTGCAGAGGACTACCCCATGGTGTCTTCGTTTGGAGGGATGCTGTTGGGTTTGGGGTTTTGGTCTTGGGGTGGGTTTACACACATGGGAACAGCTGCAGAAGAGAGGATTTAAAAAATAGCAGTTGGGTGTAGCTTCCCCCCTGAATGGGCGGTGCAGCCGGCATGCTCTCAGCAGCGCACAGGCCGTGACGCCCTGTCTGATAACCGTGAGGTCATTCAACCCATTTTGCAGATGTAAGCCAGCCCTTCTGACAGCCTGGCCCACATCCATTTATTGACCGCCCCAGGGGAAGAGGAGCTGCCCTGCCAGCGCCCCACAAACCCTCTTCTTTCCTTCCCTGACATCATCTCTGCTTGCTCCGTTGGTGCCCTGACACCTCCCCAGTGCATCCCACAGCTCCCAGCGCCGACAGCTGCCTCTTCTCCCCACTGCCCTTTCTTTCACATAGCCTGGTACTTTGGCTTCCAGAAGAGAAGGGCTCCCGGCACCCATCGCGTTCGGCGTGGGTCCTGCCAGCACCCTGCAGCTTGCTACACCTGAGGTTTTCTGAGTTGGACCAGAGTCGTAGAAAAGGTTAGCTTCCCACCACACGTCATTTGGACTGGAAGAAATAAGAGCAGGCAAACCCCTTCATCTCCTGGCAGGAGGAAGCGTGTTAGCAGAGCACGCGGGCAGAGGCACTGAAAAGGGAATGGCAGGCGTCCTGTGGTCTCACTTCCAGGGCTAGAGCTCACAGTAATGATATTATTTTGCCTTTACGTGGTGCCTTTCATAAAACATGGAGCATTTTGCAAAGCTACAAATCTTGGGGGTGGCCACAGAGAGGGGCGAGCCAAGGTGCAGGTGCCCATCCGAGCCGTCGCTGCGGGGCTGGTGACGCCCGGTGGGAAGCAAAGCAGCTCAGAGAAGGGTCTCTCCGAGGATGCTCTCGCCATGGCTGCAGCAGCCCTGGCTGGGCTGGGCATTTTGGTTGGCAGACATAGTTCATCTCAGCTTTCAGATGCTCACACGTTCCAGCAAAGTCCAGATGTTGTTCTGAGAGCTGATGGGACATTTATTTATATACCAGAGTATTCTTCTCGATATTTTAATCTGAATTTTTTTCACTTGGTCATCTTTCCCCACTGAAGAAAGACATGAATGTTTTTCTTTACTTGTTATGAAAGTTATTTTTTAAAAGGGCCAGTTCAGACAAGCTCATTTTAGCCAGAGCACAAGCTCTACACCAGAACTTTTCTTGAAAAACCAAACACATTGACTCCAGTTTTCCACTGGAAAAAGAGACAGTAGACAGGGAGATTTAAAGACATGTAGCAATACACCACTACTTGAACACATTTAGAGGGATAAA